ACCGACTTGTGGGCGCGGTACAGTCCCGATACTTGGCGTCTCAGTCCAAAGGAAGCTATTGGATGGCTTTCCTACAGGCGAGGTAATTTCCTCGCTTTCCTCCGACAGTTGAAAAACTGTCTCCGACTTGAAAAATGTAAGTCAAAGTAAGGTAACAGTACCAAATCCCGGACACGTACTTAATCCTGAACATTCTTATTATTTTAGCACTTAAATACGAATATTTGAACTTTCAACATAGAATGTATGTATGTAAATTCAATATTTGTACATATACTTTTTTATGTTGAAAGTTTAAATATTCATATTTTAAGACCAATAAGACAATAAGAATATCTAGGATTAGGTACATGTTCGGGCATTGGCAGTTTTACCTCACGTATCAGAAGTACAAGCGCGTCTTGAAGCTCGGGTAACATAAATAAACGCTCGCCACTTGCTCTGTGTCCTTTTATTTCGCGAGAGGTAAGGCTGCGTGATCCAAATTGACGATGTCAGATCATCTCAAACACGACAGCAGCGTCTGGCACATGCGTACTGTTTGAGGAAGACATCGAAATGAATCCGAGTTTCGTATGTCGAAGTGCGCGCACACACACGGGGCGAGAGAATGTTGTAGATTTTTTTTTTGCACCGAAATTCTTTTCCATTTTTTGTACTTTTAGCAGTGTGAGAATAAACTGTCAGTAAAATTCTTGCTGAGGAACATAGTGAATTTTGCCAGGAACAGAGTAAATTTTTTAATGGCACGTTGCAGTTCTCTCTTAAAATAGAAGTAGCACATATGAAACGAAAGAATGGTCGATTATTACAGAATGTCGATCCATCACAAAATTTTACGATAATTTTTGCCAGAAAATTCTCCCCGTCTACTGAGAGAAATGAATAGTCATTTTTATTAAAATTATATCTGCTTTTAGTATCAAAAGTATTTTATTTATTTACTTATTTATTTATTCATCAACGGATAATCCATTTGACATACGGAGGAAATGAAAAGAGAAAAATAATAATATTTCCTTGTTCTGATAAGAGAGCAACTTTACACGTCAAGCTATATTACAATAATAGCACTCGCTAGAAACTAGGTTTTTTAATTATTTCGTCACGCAGTTACAATGACATGAATATTAAACAGCCTTTTCTTAATGCGTATACGGAAAAAACAACTCTGTTAGTGTAATTAAATTTTTTATTATCCGGTAACCGGACAAATAAAAAACTCGGTTGCAGGGAAAGAAATATCCTTAAATAGGAAGGCTTCCACTCTGCCAACTGCTGCCTCAATCGATTTTAATTTTAATTTTCAATGATTTTTAATTTTGAATGACCGGAAAAGTGTTTTCGGTCACAGAGATATTATTTCTCACGAGCAAATTTTCCCGTTTAGTCCCTCCATTCGGTTACACACGAACTGGAAGTTTCCTTCCGTGTGCTTTTGGAGACTCAATCATTAGTAAAGCCTTTGAACGGACGGCATATTAAGGCTCGTAACATGTTAAGTGCGTGTTTTCCAGATCAATTTTCGCCAAGTCCCTATCTGCCGCCTCGCCGTGTCGTATAATGCGAGCTAATTTCGGACTCCATTCGCTTTCTCAGGACTGTACCGAGCGCTTCGACGGCGCGCGAATAGAAACCACCGGGAGAATCGTGTAGAGTCGCCGTCTTTGCGAAAAATTAGAGTAATTACATGTGCGACGCAGCTCGGCACGGCTCGGCGCGACTCGGCGCGACCGACTCCCGTAATTACGTTCGCCCGCGTGAGTTGCGAACCGTCATACTTTTGCACAACGGGCGGCGGTGTTTCTTAACTTTATTAATTGCCGCAACCTCATTGCGGCAATTTGATGCTCCGCTCCGGAGATCATTATAAGTTGGGTGGCGAGGGAGTGCGCGAGGTCGCCCGGCCGATCCGCCTAGGTGACGCGCTCTCACCTGCGCGTCTGTGACGCGCACCGCGTCGCGTGCATGCGCAACGTGCGCGCGGCACGCGCGACTGCAGCCGCGGCAATTACTTAAGGCCGTCCCCGACGTAAGACGGTCGTGTAACTTGTGCACGGCGAAACTTTACGGCTACTCTCTCTCAGTCTCATCCATTAGTAGACAGCCCTGTATGACGGCGACGACGAGGACGACGACGACGCGCGGTTACGTGCCTCGCATCATAGCGTCGCGCGAGCCGGCTTTTTATCAGTGTTGCATTGCCAAGGCTGCCGGTGATAAGCAGGCCCCTGTGCGCACCGATCATTAATTATCTCGCAAACGACGGCACTTGACAAAATGTCGGGCGCCGAGCGTCTGTCCGCGCGAATATATCGTTCCGACGTTAAGGGGATGCTGAAGCTGAAAACTCCACCGACACTGAGAGAAGGATTTAGTAAATATTACTAAAATTTGGTTACTATTACTAAATGGTAGACGTAAATATAGCGGGCCAAAGCTATGGCAATACTTATTAATTAATTTAGTTCTGTAAAATAAATTATTTATTTGACAGAAGTAAAATTTATTTGCTTCCAGAATATATTTGGTAAATAAAACTTATTGAATAGTTGAGCAAAATAAGCGATTTTGTAGTAGTTACAAAATTTTTGGTAGGTTCAACCAACCATCTGTAATAATAGATATTGAAACGATGTAATAGCTGCAAATGAATGAATTTTTCGTTGTGCTGCAACAAAACATACTTATACTGGTAACAAAATAGAACTCGTACCTACTGAATTTTTTATTACATGGGATATAACAATTTCATAACAATTATCAAATATCTGCTCATAATTGTAATATATTTCATATTAAATATTTAACATTAAGTAACTATTACTAAATTATTTAATTGATGTTACTGTGAATGCAATTACGTCATACTCTCGATCTATTAAATATTTGGTAATTATTATAATATTTAGTATTAGATACTAAGGATTCAACGAATTTCTATAACTAAATGCAGTTTGTTATAATTACCAGTCTTTTCTCTCAGTGGACAGAACACTGATATTTTTCTGAAAGTTTACGTCGTATTGGTTACACAGAATTACAAATGCTTTTACGCAATGAAAGTACGTGCAAAAATAAATAGGAACATTGCTCGATATGTGACGAAAACGAACAACAAATTTTTAATGTAAAATCTCAAGCTACGTAAATAAACGTAATATTTGCCTAATATTTGCCTAATCCAAAAGTTCCGCAGCTTGTATATATTGAAAGTGAATGCTCCAAACAGAAAAATTTTGAAAAACTTTGCTCTACCTTCGCATATGCATTTGCTTAAAATATAGAAAACGTTTGCAGAAAGATTCCCACACATGTATGGTTAGATTTTCCGTTGAATATGGTAAAAGCAACACACATTCATGTAAGTTCTGCATATATGAAATACAAAAAGGATAGCGTGATTATGTTAGTGACGATCGTCTCTATATTATCGATACTGTTTGAGTTCGTCATCGACTCCAGCATTCCCTTAAGGAGCCGATGTAATGCTCTGAGGAAAGGTGTATCTTTGGGAATTAATTTTGCGAAAATCGATCAACCGAATGTTTTGAAACATTGCACATTAATTAAGTAATTACTCTCTTAAAGTGAATCAGTAAATAGTCACAGATATACTGAGAAAAAAATTTACTAAATTTCAAGAAACGTTTGTTTGAATAGTACTGTGAAGATATTTGTTTAAATTAAGTAATTATTTTTTAAAATTAAAGAAACAAATTTATATTTAAAACTTCTTTATTTAATTTTAGAAAATAATTACTTAATTTAAACAAATATCTTCGCAGTATTATCCAAACAAATGTTTTTTGAAATTTAGTAAATTTTTTTCTCAGTGTATCAGTTATGAGTATAGCACTGAGCACTTTTAGTGCTATACTTATAACTGAAGTCAGTATATATTCACTGTTTTCAATGATGTTTGAGTGATCCATTTTAAAAGAGTATTGAGCTTTATATGGAGCTATTTTTGTCATTTAGGAAAACCTATAAATAAATATGCAACGTGTGGTCGAGCTCACGAGTGCAAAAAATATCGCCGCAATCGGCGGGAAAGATGTTCTAGTAATCTGAGATAAAAAAAGTTGACATAAAAGAAACTCAACAAAATCGAAACATCACCGCGCACTTCAGCCTTATGACGTCACGGCGAACGTTTCGTGCGCGCTCTCGGCGGGAGAAACTCCGCGAGAAATCGCAGCAATTTGTATCGACTCGAGAATGCTCGATTAGTAATTATCCGGCGCGCTAATGCGCGCCCGAAAGCGCGCCCTGCCAACGAAAGCTGCGCCAGTCGTCTTTCCCGCTGCATTGTTGCCGACGACGGCATTCAGCTGCACGGCAAGCACGGAAAGTACGATTTGCATTCCCCGACGAAAGCGAAACAATATCGCATTAATTCAGTTACATCGACGCTAACGACCAGTAATAATAGTAACCGGAAAGAGAACGATCAATATCGGCCAGATCGGGGTCGGTGGGAGGAGGAGGAGGGAGTGGCGAGAGATATCTTCGTGAATCACTTTAAGGGGGACCTTCGAGGGTTTTCGCGTCAATTAGATGGGATCGCCCGCTCGTAAATTGCCGAATTAATCGCGAAATTAAAAAGGAAGACGGACAAGAACGGATGAGGGGGAAGGTAGGGGGAGGGAGTGAGTGGGTGGATGGGCGCGGCGGGAAAGCGACTTCTTACGGTCTCAGGCTCTCGCATTGATTCTGCAATTAGCCTGCCGTCGACTCGTCTGCGCTCAGGAGGGCAGGAGTCAAATCGAGAAAGCCGATTCCCCTGTCTCTCCCTCGAGTCACCTGGACGTGCGTTTCCCTGTCCTCCTTCGTCTTCTTATTTGGGCGCTCTTCTTTCCTTGTTTGTCTACCTCTATCTGTCTGTCTGTCTGTCTCCCTCTCTCTCTCTCTCTCTCTCTCTTCTATTTTTCTCCTCTCCGGACACCACCAATTAGGTTAATTAACTCAATTATCGTTCTCTTTCTCTACCGTTTCAGGTGCGCACCTTGTTCGTGAGCGGCTTGCCGATGGACGCCAAGCCGAGGGAGCTCTATCTGCTCTTCAGAGCGTACGAGGTGAGTCTTGAGGGAGAGGAGGAGAAGGGGGGAGGGAGGGAAAGAGAGACAGAGAGCGTTTGCACACTCTGTCTGTCTGTCTGCCTCTCTCCCTCTCTCTATATGTGTGTTTGCTATTTTATATATAGTCGTGTGTATTCGCGATGTCGAGATCAAAGGGTCCGCGGAGGTTTCGAGATTTGAGAAGCCGACGCTGCGAAATATTCCGGACAGCGACGCAGCGATGCGGATCTGGTCGCGCTCTTCGCGAATATAAACGACGTGATGTATTGAAGGCACCGAGGAGAGGAACCGAAATTCCTCTGAACGTTAATATTCCATTACGGGTATAATCGTACAAACCGGTGCACCGCCGTAAAGGCAGTTTAAGGATCAAAGAACTCACGGAATTGAAAAACACGGTTACATGAATTATCAATTTCGGGATATGTGTGTGTTTCTCAATAATTCAAGCCGCCTCGGTGTTTTATACGTTCCATAGACGCGCTAAGATCCGTACGTGCTTAAACTTCCGAATCGCTTTGGGTATTAGAAAGCATCCTTTCTCTCTTTCTCTTTCGCGGTTAATTTCACGCTTGGTTTGCTCGGTCGCGGAAAAATCATTGACAATTAATTACATTCTACAAAGTGTTTCGCATAACACGAAATTGAAATAACAATCCGATAAAATAAACATAACAAGCTAATGTATATTTAATATCTAAATTAACCTAAATTAAACTAAAATCTCGATAACTAATAATGTCGGACAATAAAAGCAATATACACATATATACCGTGTACGGAGAGAGAACGTTATATTAAAAATTACTAAAGAATTTTGTGTCATCAAGGAATATAAATATTCCGCACTAATTGACTATCTTTTCACTTTATGTTACTTGTATCTTAGAAACCGAAATTTGTTAAAAAATTTCTAGCACGTTTCAAGCGAAATTTGCTATGTCCTTCAGTAAGATAGACCTTGTTGGCAGCCTATTTTCCTGCACTAACAGCATCAAGAGAAAAAGTATCTGAAAAATAGACGATATTTATTCGGTGGATACTAATAACACATATATCTACTTTAAAGTAAAATTTTATTTCAATATAAAAGAGTTTCATTTAAATAGAATAAACAGTTGCTCTCATGAAAAGCTAAGATTTTAAGAAAATGTATTTATACAAAAAATATTCTATATTAATACAAGTATAAAACGTTATTCGTGCTTACCGAATAAATATTTTCTATTTCTTAGATATTTTTTCTCTCAGCGTAGAAACACCGTGAAATTGAAAAGAATTTATATGAAAAAAAAAAAACTATAATATTCTCTCCGTGCATACGTACAAACCAGCTTGAAATTCGAATTTGAAAGATATTTTATATTAACATAAGTATGTATAAGTATATATAAGTAAATATGTCACAAGTATCCATCGAATAATTACTATTTATTTCTTTTTCTTTTAGTGTAGTAGTAAGAACGTAGTAAAATTGAGAGGAGTTTATATGTGCAAAAAAGAAAGCTGTATTGCTCTCTATGCGCATGTACACGCGAGTATCCTGATTGATAACGATCGCCGTGCACTCATTCTGGTTTTTCTCGCGGAAGTGCATAGCTCGGGGAGAGAGAGAGTCTCTCTCTCTCTCTCTTTCTCTCTCACCGTTATCATATCAATTACCCATCTACCCCATCTACCCCACCGGTCTGGCTCTCCTCACCCGTCGCGCTTAATTCGCTGTTGAGGTTCAATAAGCTCATCTACATTCTAGTTCTCGCGCGGCATCACACGGCGAAACACACACCGACCGACTGGCCGGGCAGGTTATGACTGAACGTTCGAACTGTATTCACAAGGGGAATATTCCCCTTATGAATCATGCTCTCGTCTACGCCGGCCTCTCGCCGTGAAAGAGAGAGAGAGAGAGAGAGAGAGGGAGAGAGATGGTACTCCTCTATAACGTCATATTTGCCCGGTTCGCGTTCCTAGGTTAGTTTGTCTACGGGGTTAATTATGTCGGTGCCAATTACGAGCTTGCACTTCCGAGCTCCGACAACGGCGAGACGAAAAATCGATAGCAATGGCACTTCGACGCTCGTCGTTCGCGTTCCGCCCGTGTCTCTTGCATTTGCTCTTTTTATCCTTGCGCTTTGCGTCAGGATCAGTATCAACGGAGGCAAAGATGAGACACTTTTTTTCTTCAATAGATTTCGCAACGCATAGGATTCGATAGGATTTGTTTTTCTCTTTTTTCAAGAAACTCTCTCAGAGATTTTTCTCTAATAACTTGGCCCCCGACAAAGTTTTGATTATAAATCTCGTTGGATATCAGATGAATTCTGAAGTTCATTGCGGTAAAAATGTTGCGTGCTCCTTGTGTCTCGACAAAATTATACAGCTTTCTTTTCTGCACCTATAAACTCCTCTCAATTTTACTACGTTCTTACTACTACACTAAAAGAAAAAGAAATAAATAGTAATTATTCGATGGATACTTGTGACATATTTACTTATATATACTTATACATACTTATGTTAATATAAAATATCTTTCAAATTCGAATTTCAAGCTCGTTTGTACGTATGCACGGAGAGAATATTATAGTTTTTTTTTTTTTCATATAAATTCTTTTCAATTTCACGGTGTTTCTACGCTGAGAGAAAAAATATCTAAGAAATAGGAAATATTTATTCGATAAGCACGAATAACGTTTTATACTTGTATTAATATAGAATATTTTTTGTATAAATACATTTTCTTAAAATCTTAGCTTTTCATGAGAGCAACTGTTTATTCTATTTAAATGAAACTCTTTTATATTGAAATAAAATTTTACTTTAAAGTAGATATATGTGTTATTAGTATCCACCGAATAAATATCGTCTATCGTCTAGCGGGTAGAATTTTCGCAAATGAAGATGCACCTCGAAGAGAGAGGTGTATTTCCTCTCTCTGACTGTTGAATTCTCACATGAACAAATTCATCTACCTTAATGTATACCAATATTTGAAATTTTATTTTCCATCTGTATGTATAAACACAAACAAGTTCGGTTCGATGCCAGCGTCTAAATGAATTAAACTTTGCACACCGATATCCGTGCGATTTGCGCGATTCCACGTTATTGATCGAGAGTGATTCGATCAATGACGAATCCGGCGAAATTTTCCGGAAGGAAGACTGCGGTCAGTTCAAGAGAGAAAAAGAGGGGGAGAGGCAGAGCTAAATACGTTTCGCGCGACTTCAGGGTGAAATTCAATCGAGCTGACGGCGGCGACGGTGGCGGAACGGAAAGAGAAAAAGTAGCCGCGGTCACATTTGTCGTCGCGGAAGGAAGAACAGGTGGAAAAACGGCGAAATTGTTCTCGCTCCATTTGTAAATCTCCCTCGAAAGTTAAACCCGCGAGCTTCTCTCGAGCGTATCGTTACTCGACGGCGAAAAAGGCGGCGTGGCTCTCTCTCTCTTTCTCTCTCCTGTTTTTTTTCTCCTTTTCTTTTTTAACTCGTACCCTCGTCCTTATTTTGTATATTCATGAAATCGTCGTGAGCAGCTCGCTCAAAGGGATTAGGATTAGTCGCGTGGGTGTGCTGGGAATTACATTTCCGGCGGTACCGTGAGAGCCGCGAGCGAAGTATACATAGAGAGAGAGAGAGAGAGAGAGAGAGAGAGAGAGAGAGAGAGAGAGAGAGAGAAACGACCGACAGGCATCCTTCTTTCTTCTTTTCGGCTCCCGAGGCACTCTAAATAATGATTTTACGTAGCAAAACGTAATACAGTAATTTTCTGATCGGTTTTCGCGGTTTAACGGGGGCGGCGCCCTCTTTGAAAGGACCTCATCCTTTAATCTAGCCTTTTGTGCGAGCCCGAAAAGACGTCCCATCAAAACAACGCTGTTTCGTTGTCTCGGTAAATATAAAAATAACAATTGAATAAATTAATAATAATCGTGAGACAACGGTTAAAACGAGAGTCGAATGGATGAGCGAATTAAGATGTTCCATCGCTCGTTCGACGTTGTGTACTGAGATAAAAGTGTGCAATATTCGCGACTGCACGGTGAAATGATTGCAACCAGGAAACTCATGTTTGTAGTAATCGCTACCACATCGTTACTGCTGAAAACTTCATATGCATATAGTTATCTACTACTTTTTTTGATAGACAAACAAGAGATATGATGAACGCCGAGAATGACTAATTTGTATCGAGATTATCTATTTTTTATTCTCTTAGTATTTATGAACACAAAGGTGAAATAATTGCAACCAGGAAACTCATGTTTGTAGTAATCGCACATCGTTGCTACTAAAAAATTCGTATGCATATTGCTATTTACTATTATTTTTATGCACAAACAAGAGATATGATGACTAATCGCCGAGAATGACTAATTTGTATTAAGATTATCTAATTTGTATTAACTGAATGACTAATTTGTATTAAGATGAACACAGAGACATGTCTTGTTTGCACGTTTGTTTGAGAATGTTATTACGCACGTTTGACTTTTTACTACACAATTATTGTAATCCCTTGAACGCTTTTTATATCGTGTACCAGAACAAATTGTCACATTTGCTATTTCTGCAGTGATTCATGCTACAGTTTCGGTATAATTCAGCTTTACAAAAACGTCGTAGAAAACAATAACGGTTATCTTCAACGAAGAATATCGTCTTCATAACAGTCTTCAAACACACTCATCGCAAACTTGAGAAAAGCTTATTATCATGTGCTCAAAAGAAAAATTTATTCTCTCTGCGAGGATATTGTAAGGCTTTGTCGAGAGAACGAGTCGGCTCAACTCTTTGTAGTGAGCAAACCGAATTTCTGTTCGCATTTAGTATTCTTGATTGAAATGCTAAACTCACTGGGATCCAGAATGCAGCATAATTTTTACTGCTGCATTTCCTCCGCGTGCGGTTTCAACGATAATCGTCGCGACGCCAAATCGATCTCCATTGACTGCAGATTCCTCGACGAGAGATGAGTTCTCTTTAGCTCTCTGAAGT